AATTATGTGACTGAAATATATTCATTCAATATTAGAAATATCTATGCAGATTCGGTCATTAATTTTAGTTGACATTCGACGATGTATGAAATATAATCATTCAATATTCAAATACAATAACATCAATGGTTAGTGCATATAAGGGAAACTGAAATACGCATGCAAATTCAGTCATTAATGTTAATTGAAGTTGAAGATAATAGTATTTTGTACATCGAATATTGTCAAAATATTTTATAAAGTTCGATTTTATGAAATATAAAATATTATATTTAAAATTTAAATATATGCCTAATTATGAAATAAGGTCGCATTTTTTTCCTATTTTTATTTATACTTATGTAACGAAATATATTTCAAGTTGAAGATAATAGTATTTTGTACATCGAATATTGTCGAAATATAAAATATAAAGTTCGATTTTATAAAATATAAAATATTATATTTAAAATTTAAATATATGCCTAATTATGAAATAAGGTCGCATTTTTTTCCTATTTTTATTTATACTTATGTAACGAAATATATTTTGAATTTGAATAAATCGTAACATGTACCAAAATCATTCTATATGCATGTTTTACATTTACAATATTTACATGGAGAATGATATACATAAAATATATCGTACATGTAACAAAATACTTATATCAGGAAATATATCATACTTATGTAACAAAATATATCGTATCGTATATAAGGAACTATATAAAGAAATATATAAGGAAATTTAATTAACTATATGCCTAGTATATGCATGTATTTATTGTTATATCATATATGTCATATATGTATATTTATATCAATGGCATGTTGTGTAATTATTCTAGTTAACTAAGGTTTTTTAGTTAAAAGGTGTGAGAAGGCTTGTGGAGTTGCCACGTAGGAAATGACATGCATGTAATAAACACATGAAGTAAAGGTTTATTTGCAAAAGTTCTCCTCAAATAATAAGAAGGGGATTTCAGGAAGCATGGTAAATTAATTCCCTCCCTCTTTTTAAACTACTAGATTTTATACTCGCGCTACGCGCGAGTCTGTATTAATAATTTAAAATAATTTAAAACAAAAAATTAAATGAGTAATATAATTTTCTTATTTAAAATATAATTTTTAATTTAGTATTTATGTTTTCTTATAATTATTTTATCTTATTAGCTATTTAGTTATTTGTATTTGTAAATATAATAATTATGTTTGTAAACATATTCATAATTATTGGAAATATTAATTTATATATTAAAATATTAAATAGATTTCTCAATGCATGTAAATTGTTAGCACATTATAATATTGGAAAAATAATTGCCAACTACCTGAAGTATCGACCACTACATGGCTAACCATGCAAAGTAAAGAAATGCACACTCAACTACATGAAGTATATGATATGCATAATAACATCCATGAACTTTATGTTGTTATGTAGCTAACATCACAAGTCTAATAATAATTAATTACATTACAAGGTTAATTACATTAATAATAAATATAAAATATAAAAATGTTTCATGATATGGAAAACCTTTCTATATTTTTTTTATTTTTAATATTTTTATTTTTTAAAGTGTTATACAACAATATTAAAAATTAAGGCTATTTTAGAAAACACTTTTAACTTTATTTAATTTATATTTTTAATAGTTTGTTAGTTTATCATTTATTTTTCTATGTGATTTGTTAGGTGAAATTGTATTTTTACCATATTTGCTGTAGGACAATTCATGTTTTCCTTCATTAAGAAGATATTTTTACAAATACATTTTCCACTGAATGAAAAAAGATCTTTCTACAAATTTTATAAACACATATAAATATAAATAATTATTAAAATATTTAAGTCATTTAAAAAAATATTTTCAAAACGTTTTATATCTTTAAAATGTCTTTATAATCATTTTCAATAAATTTGTTTTTTAAGTATTTTATTACAAAATGATTTTGTAATAAAATATTAAAAAACTTTTAGTTTATTGAAAATGTTTATAAAGATATTAAAATGTTAATTGTATAAATGACTTAACTATTTAAAATCCAAAACATTATTTTATATACAAAACATTTTATTTAACCTAACAAAAAATAATAGGGAAATTTTACTTTTACCTCACTTTTGATACCAACATTCATGTATTCATTCCTTAAATGAACATTTTCAAATATACACAATTATGTAGTTTCATTAAAAAAATACTTTTATATCCTTACTTTCTAAATATAAATAAATAATTATTTATATATATATATATCTATGAAAACAAATGCTAAACTAGCAAACTATTTAAAATATATAAATTTAAATTTTTTTAGAATAATGTACACAAATTTATAAAATAAAAAGAATAAAAACTTTCTTAATAATAAAAACATCAAATAAAAAATATTTTCCATATCTTAAAATGTATGTTATATTTTATATTTTATATTTTATATTAATGTAATTAGCCTTGTTATATAATTAATATAATTAATCTTGTGATGTTAGCTACATAACAACATAAAGTTCATGGATGTTAGTATGCATATCATATACTTCATGTAGTTGAGTGTGCATTTCTTTACTTTGCATGGTCAGCCATGTAGTAGTCGATACTTCAGGTAGGTGGCAATTATTTTTCCTATAATATTTCATCATACATTTTTATATTTTTTGACAAAATAAATTATTAAACTTCAGCATAATATATAATTTTTCTTTGTACTT